ACGCTTCAGTTATAAAATTTTCACATTTATTTGTTCATTGCAGTAAAAAACCTCAACAAATTCTTCAAAATTAAATTCAAATAAAAACATTTTTAATCATTTTGAGCTACTAGAGTCTTTTCCTTTCAAGAATTGGAAATACAAAAACCAAAAGTAAATATTAAATTACAACATTTAATTTAATTATCTGCGATATTCGAAATGTATAATAAGCTTGTGTTGATAGTGCCAAAATCTCTAGATATGTAAATGTACTGTTGAAAAACGTATAATGTGAAATTAAATTGGAAAAAGAACTGCAAAAAAAAAATTTTATTTTACATTTTTCTCTTTACAATATTGATGTTTTCATTTTAATGGCAACAATAAATCTTCTTCACAACTCTTTCTCTAATTGCATGAAATTTTGGTATATGGGGAAAAAAAATTTCAAAATAAAACAAAATAAGAACAAAAAAATTAAGTACAAGTAAACGGCGAGAATAAAAAATCCTATTGTGTAGATCATTTTGAAAAATTTTTACCAATAAAATATTTCCGTTGTCAATAAGTACACTTCAAACATTTACTCTTTTTTTTTTTTATGTGGTTTTTTATTTTTCTTTGTTATTTTTTCTTCCTCTTTTTTTTTTTTTTGTTACATTCAATCACAATACACACCCACACTCTTTATGTGTTTATAAATCTATAATATTTGTACAAAAACTGAAAAAAAATTGTGTGTAAATAAATATTGTTACATTATGTGTGTTGGGTGTTTGTTCATGTATGTACATATGTATGTATGTACATACGAAAATGAAAAGTGTTCATAGGCTCCGCCATAATGATGTATTTTATAATGTTTGCATATAATATTTTCATTGAATCCAATTTTAACAGTGTTTTAAGAAAAATATTTATATATATGTATGTATGTATACATACTTATACTCACATAATAATTATATGTACATCTACATAAATATAAATGTATACATAGCATTATAATGACGCATAATGTTATTACATAATTTCGGTTGTATGAAATGGTACATAAAAACATTCGCAAAAATATGTACATAAAATGTATTTTTTTAACATTTCATCTTATTTATAATAGACTTGCCATTTCTTAAAATTTATAGTAATCAATTACTTAATTACTCCTTAAAAGTTTCGACCCCGTTTTACTTGTAATATGAATTATTCAACTATCTGAATCCCATCTAACATTTTATTAGTTCATATTTGTATCTAAGTGCAAGTCTTTTATATACATGGTAATTATATAAAATATTTGTTGATAATATGCACGCAATAATTTTACATACATTTAGGATCTTTGTCAAATAATATCCTTTAACCATTTTAAGAGTTCTTCATTAAGAAGTAATGAAAAATATTCACGATACGGTAACACTATGGATGTAGCTACATATTATTTTTACATATTTTACTGGCACACAATCAACTGTTATGTTTTCGTCAAACTGTTTTAAGATTACTTACTTTTATTTATTTAGTCTTCTTTTTTTTGTTTTCTGTTATTTTCTTAATATTTTATTCCATTTCCTTAAAAAACCGGTTTTCTATTTCAATAATCTAACCATTATCAGTTTGTACGGATTCTGATTATTGGAACTACACATATTATGTAAGTATGTACGTGGCCATACTTTTATACAATAAGTTTCTTAAAAGAAAAACTTCTTCCAATACTACACTTTTATTTATACTTTTATGTTCAGAATATGTATTTATGTATGTATGTATGTTCTATGAGAAAAAATTTCGACAAAAATGTACTATAAGTATGCAAGCATATGTAAAAAAAAAATAAAATGAAATACGATAGAAAAAAAAATGAATTGCTAAATAACGGTTTTTGTATATTTAAGGCAAATAAAAAGAAAAAATATTGAAATATTAAAGAAAACGAAACCAATATAAAATACGAAACATAACGGAATGAGAACGGAAACATTGAAATATTTTAAAATATTTTTCTTATTCTTATTTTTTCATATATAACTGTAAATATTGACTTTGGGATTGAGTAAATATTGAGATTGAAGTGCACAGAAAAATATATTGTAGAGAATAATATGGAAAAAAACAGTTACAAAATTGAACAGAAAGTTTAAAGACAAAAAACAAAGAGAAAAAAGAAAAATAAGCAATGTAAAAAAAATATAAGAGATAAAAAAAAACAAAATAAGAATGTCCCGAAAAATTAAATTGAAAAACACTTCAAACGGATCTTTTTCATATCAGGCAATGACAACAATGAAACCAAGAAAACAAAAAAAAGACGTACATACGCATATACATTCAATACATGCACGCATTGTACATACATATGTATGTATACATTTGCACAAATAAACATAAAAAGTTCTACAGAAATATAGAAAACAGAAACTTGTTAAATAATCAATCGTAATCGAAATTGAAAATAATGAAAATAATGCGCATGTATCAACCACTTATCAACCACAATGCATCATTCAAACTTTCTCATAATTTTTAATATTAGAATTAATTTGACAACAAAATATTGAATGTTCTCATTTATTCAATGCAAAGAAGGGATAGAAAAATAAATTAGAAGGAATACCCAATAAACAAATTGATAGCATATTCCCTACTAGTGGAGTAAGAGTAAAACGTAACCAGAATAAAGAAAAAAAATTTTTACGTTACAGGAGATCATACAATTATTTTTATTTCACGTTTGAGATGGAATAAAAAGGATGCATTCGGAATATTCCAATACAGAGAAAATGGCAAAATTTTCTGATTGAAAATCATTTTAAGAACAGCTGTTCTTTTGGCACAAATTAAAATGTCAAAAGTAAGTCATCAAAATTTATTCCTCATGAATGACAGACAGACGTCCAATATAATTTTGTCCTACATTAGATCCATTTTCTTCTTATTTAGCGATTTAACCCAACCGTAGCCTAATAGAGAACTAAAATTTGACAAAATAATGACACAATATTACGTAATAAATTTATGTACATATTATGTAAATTCACTTAAATAAGTAAGTATATTATATGAATGCGAATATTATTTGTACTTTATCGTATTCTATGTTTGCTCTTAAAAATTCAATTTGAGAAAATTTTTCTTAAAAATTTCAAGTTTAGAAACAAGACATATTTTGGAAAAATAAAATGAACAGCAAAACGAGTCCATTTTTGTAATTTATAGCGTTTTAATAGAATCATGTTCGTAAAATTTTTACACTTAAAATGGTATTTATAAATAATAATCTATATTAAATTTGAATACATTGATAGTAAGACTTGAAAAAGTCATAACGATGGTGAATATTGGATTAAAAAAAAAAAGGTTAGAACAAAATTCAATCAGAAGTTATTCCCAATTTCATGATTTTATTATTTTTTTTCGAATAGGGAATTGGAAGATTCATTTGTAACCTTTTTTTAGTAAATATTTGTCGCCAAATTCCATGCTGATAATTTTATTACTTTCCGAAATATTTAAAATTATCTTTTTGAATCATATAGCAGTTAGCCGAACCGTTTTTCGAATTGTCCTGATTACGAAAGAAAAAATTTTTGAAAGTGTGTTAATGTTTGCTTTATTCGTTTTTAAATGATCGTGTAAACGAACAGATAGACAAAGGGATATGAGCGATAACCAATGCAAAATTTTAAGCTTGTCAACAATATACATACATGTTCATACTGCAGACGACTCCTTCAAATAAGTGGTTGCAAAATATTATATTCCTTTCACTAAGGTGTAGGGTATAGAAATTAAAATATTGTGAGAATTTTGGAATACAATTTAAGTTTAAACAAATTTCTCTAGAACAAATGCTCTTTATTTTCTTAAGTATATACCTACATATCGAATTTATTCAAACATTTTATGATGCATACAAATTTTTGGAAGAAGTTATTTTCCACTTACTCATATTCATCTACAATTAATAAATTTAATTGTAAACATTTAATTTACACTCAAACTAAATTAATTACTTTAACGTTTCATTTGCAATATTCTCTTCAGCGTTTTTAATTCATTCACATTCTTACATTTAGAAAATAATATTAAAAAATTTTATATAACCTCACAAATAAAAATGCATGAGTGGAAATCAAAAATGGCATTAATTTCTTTTCTTAATCTCTTTAAACAAAATTTTTTTTTTATGTTCTCATCAAAGAATTACAGCATTTTACAAAATTGAAAATTTTATAAAAAAATAATTTATTAAAGGACTTTTACTTCTAATAATTTTCTTTTGCACTTGTTCTTATTATATAATATATAGAAAATAGTAATGAAAATCCTCTTGTAATTAAAAAAAAAAGAAAGTACATAGATTGTATACACTTGATAATTACGTAAACATTTTATTTTTTCAAAGTGTCACAAGTACTCCATAATATTTCTTCCAAATAGGTTAAAACTATTCAAACTTTTTTTCTTCTTTATTTTAATAGAATGCATTCTCTTAGAATTGCGTATACACACACATGTATTATAATGTGCCTATAACGTATGAATATTCAAGTACACTAAGCTATACACTTAAAAATCATTGAACTCAAACTATTTATCTACACACAAAATGAATCAACGTACAGCTACATATGCGCATACTTAATATTAACCCTTTACTGTTCGAAATATTCTATCGTTAAATGAAAATGTGGAAAAGATTTTGAGTTAAAATTTTAATTTAAAGTAGGGAATAAAAATTAAAATCTTAGGGAACAAAATAATTTCTAAGATAATCCATTCTATACTTTCAGAAACATTTAAACGGGTTCGTTCTTAAAGGAACTTTACTATTTATTCTTGTAGTTTTCTATTTATTCTATTTACTTACAAAAGTCCGTAAAAACTCCATAAAAATTTAGTAAATACTCTACAAATATTTTCCATACATATTCTGCTCTGTTGCATAATCTGCTCTAAATCGTTTCCATTAACTTCCCTGTCATATTTAAAGACAAAAAATTTTCATTCACCCAATGGGAATGAAGACGTCGATTCCTTTCCAAAGAAGCTCGCTTGATCATCTGATAACTAAGTTAACAGAGTTTAAACCAGATTCAAGTAAAATTAATATTTAAAAACAGTCTTTTCTTGTGTTACGGCTATTATGTAACTCGGTGTTTTCTTGTTACTGTGAATGATTTAGAAAGAATTCAGAATAGATTAACTTAATTCATTATTTTTTAAAACATTTCCCAAATAAAGCCGTTTGACAAATTTCAATTTTTTTTATTTTTCATTACCCAAGAAAAAGTTGGAGTCAGAATAAATTTTAGAAACCCAGTTTTTTAAGCAATGGCGTTCCAAATTCGAAATTTATATAGTATCACTCTAGTAAATTGGCAACTGTTTTCAATCACAAATTTTTATATTAAAACGGAGTTAAAATTATCGATTTATATTTTTTATTTACATTAAAGCTTTAAATAATTTTCATTCTCCCCAATTGATTTTACAAAATTTTAGGCTTTTGTTTACTTTTATTGACGTATAAAATCTATTGTGATGTTTATAGTACACACTTTTATTTTTCTCTATAAAACTATGTCAAGGATGAAATAATTTGCACACTTTCGTCATATATTTACATTTATTATAATAAAAAATATCAAAATGAATTTCATATGTTTTAAATTTTTACTCATGTAAAATATAATGGTATACATAATAATATAGTCATATAACAGATATTGTATAATACTGTAATATATACACGAGTTCTTCTTAGCACAAAATTTGAAAAAGGTACGTGTACAGTAAAATATCTTCGTCTAATCTTTTTTCTTTTAGATGGTTGCCTCATAAGTTATGATAAAAAATATGGCGCTACTGCTAAATATTATATAAGCTCTTTCCTTGTACACAAATTAATGTTGATTGTGTTCCCTGAAATTTGGAGTGAATGGGAACAGATGGTAACGATATTCGCTAAATTAAAAATCAAATAGCTCGCATAAAATCAAAGCTTTTGCAAAATTATTGTAGGTAGTTGTTGATAGTTGTAGTAGTTGGAAAATACTTTTAGGAAAATCGTGTAGCTGCTCTTAAGTACTGAATTTTTACATAACTTTATTTCTGGAACTTTTCGTTTATTCCGCTATCGATACTTAGTTTTTTATTTCACTACGAACGTATTATAAAAAAGTTAAAATTTTCAATTCAATTTTCAATACACAATCTCTTTTCGGATTTCTCTCTTACAAAAAAAAAACGTGTATAGTAACATAAAAAGTGAAAATGTAAAAATAATAAATTGATAGTACAGAATACTCTACTCATGCAGATGTTAATTAAAATTATGTATTGTCAGAAAAAGTGAAACTAAAAACAATGTTAAAGTTGTATCGATAAAATATGTGCCTATGTACTCGTATATACATATAGAGAAAAACAATGGAAAAAAATATAAAAAAAAAATAACAAAAGAACACAAAAAAATATTATGTAATTGTAATTTGATAAAGCGAATCCTTGAATTTTAATTAAGGCATGGAAAAACTACAATTTTAGATTTATGACTGTAAAAAATTGAGATATTAAAAAAAAAAAACAAGTAAAAAATAAAAGAATTACTCTTTTGAAAGTCAAAATTTTTTAAATTTTAACAAATTTTTTAATTAATAAAATATTCACGGTTAACAACTATGAAAAAAAAATAATCATATTTTTTATTAAGAAAAATTGAGGGCAAGTTACGGTACCAAAAGTTGAGGTAATAATGAAGAGTTTTTCATGGAAAATCTGTTAAGTTCAAACTAAAATATTGAATTGCAGAAAATACTTTGACGATAATGCAAACAATACCACGTTAATAAATAAAATAGAAATGTTATACAAAAGGCTCAAGGCCTATCACTTAAAATTTAAACGTTTTTTACAATTTTACTTCAAATTAATTTGATATTTCTGAATGCATCTACTCTAAGACCTCACCTCGAATTGAGCATACAAAAAATTTATAAAAACGTCTAAATAAAAAACTTAAACACAAAATGACGACGAATTTGAAAAGACTAATTGGCTTAGAACTGAAATCCAAATTATTGCTGCTTGAAACTCTTGAATTTGCTGGATAGCCTTTCCATTTCTTCAGCTACAGAGCGCACCCCAATCCAACAATAGCGACAATTTTTATAATTTAGATTTATAATTTATTATTTGTTTGAATTTTTTCTGGAAAACAAAGCTTAATTCGTTGACATATTTCGGAATGCTAAACCATATTTCGGAAAAATATTTGGCCAATTTTTAAAATCCAAGTGAAACATTCTAACATATACATTATTAGAATGATTTCAGTCTTTTTATAATTATTATTCACAGTTTTTCAAGAAAATTGCGAATTTTTAAATATGGGAGGAAAAAATTTTCCTCCTTTTTTAATAAAATTTAAGGACATTTTCATAATAAATATGAAATTTATTTTTATTATTTCAAACAACGTACTACACGTATATAAAATGCGAATACAAGTAGATATAGTTAGAGTAAATTAAAATAAAAAACTAATTTTCTTTTAATAAAATCTTGAAAGTTTTTATGCTAGTGAGAGCATCTATTAATATATTAAACAAGGCCAAATCAATGTTATAATGACCTCAAATATAAAAGTCTGATTTTCTATTACTTAATTATTAAAAAGAGAAAATAATTTGTGTTATGCTAGCTGAAAACTTTTTTAAAACGAAGAAATATAAAAACTTTTAAAATTTTCTTCTTTTTTTTCTTGTTTTTGTTAGTTTTCTTATTTTTTGTTATCTTACACATTGAAACTAAGTTAATATAGTTGTGTCCTTTTTCGGTAGATTATTTCGATTTTGTCGGCAAGAAAAATATCTTGAAGATACAGAAACTTGGAAAAAAAAACTTTGTTGTTTTTTGCCTTAATTTTTTTTTTTGTTGCGGAAATCCGCAAAATATTTATTTTCTTTCTTTTCCTTTTTGCCTTGATATTGAAAAAAAGATTTGTTGTTTTCTTAGATAAAAATCTTGAAATTTTAATTTTGTATAATGAAGTCCTTGAATTTTTAATGTATAATCGAATATAAAATTTTTTTCTATATTAATTGAAAAAGTTTTTTTTTTTATAACACAATATTTACGAGTATGTTGTATACTATGTTTTTATGTGAGCAATATATAAATTGCACCCGCACGAGGAGGAAAAAATAAACTAAAATTAAATCGAATTTTAGTTAAAAAATTTTCTTTTTCTGTCTTGCCAAAAATGTGGGCCAGCTTTAGTAGGGCTATTGAAATCTAATCAGCTAATGTTATAGTTGAAATCTTACTCGTTAAAAATACGGGTTTGATTTATTATGCCTACAATTTTATTCAAAATTTTTCAAAAATGAAAGTCTTGTTTTTTATTAATTGCGGAAAATAAAAGTTATTGAGGGTGAACGTAGTATAATCTCTCAGAATGAAAAAAAATAAAATTTTCTGACCCCGGGCACATGTGACATGCAAAAGTTCTTTTCACAAAGTGACTAAAAAGTTTATCCAAATTTTTTTCATAATTTGAAAGATTTTCAGTTGATCTTCAAAATACCTCTTAATAATTTTTTTCGTGCGACACCTCGTTTCCAAGATAATTCGGATGAGAGCTAAACTGTGTCCAGGAAAAATAATTATAGGCTAGTAGCGAAAGTTTAGTACCTAAACTTTCCGTTAAACATTTTACAATAAAGGAAACAAGGGTTCATAATGAACGTCTTTGCCTAAGACATGATTCCTACATCTGTTTTAAAGTACAAGATATAGTAGACTGCTTTATAACTATATACAGAGTTGCAGAGTTCTTTTATAAAAAATACAAATATCCTCCATTTAAGGTGCAATAAATTGTTTTTTTGTGTTAATTTCAAAAATTTTATAGATTTTGAATGTGTTCTCTTCCTTATAATTAGAAAAAAAAAATGAAATTATTTTAAATTTATTATTGTGTTTCTTTTAATTTAATATTTATGCCAAAACACTTTAGGCAAAAAATCTGGCAAGTTTTGGAAAAGAAAAAAAATAAATTTAATTTAAATTATCTTTTCAATAATTCAGAATTATAATGATATTTCAATTCTAATAAAAAAAAATAAATTGCCATATTAGTGTTAATTTAGTGTCAGGAGAAATTCAAATTTTTGTTCTTTTAAAAATGTTTTGAAAATTAGAGTCGTATAAATGAAAGTGATCCTCAAAGTTTTTCTCCATAAAAAATTTTTCATGTTCCAATATTTTTCTAGTATTACATATAATATTTTAATTCTCATATAACATCCTGTTTGTTGCAAATTTATTTTTTATTTCAGCACATTTTTCTATTTAATGCAACTCATCCTTAATTCTTAACTTCTGAAAACACGATTAAGTTGGAAATCTTGTTATAAAAAATTATTAATTACATATATTAAAATGTTAATATTATTGATTTTGTTAATTAGGTTCTAATATTAAAGTGATTCTAGATTGGTCCCCCATATGACTTTATTTAAATTTTTTGAAATTCTATCATTGTGATCAAATTACAAACCCATATTTTAAGTCAATTCTTTTTTCTTTCCGTGAAAATAATTAAAACGCAAGATGATTATAACACTTTTGAATCCATGTTTAATATATTTCTAAATTTTAAATCATATATGTATGCATGTACAATATAACATTTTATTCTACCATAGCGAAATAAATTAATGTCTATATACTCATGACCTAATTTTAAAGTTTTCTCCGTATAAAGTGTTGTGAATGGAATTGAGCTATATATCATCCAATTTATGTAAATTATGGGAACTCTCATGCTTTAATTCATTTTAATTTATTATTCGGCAATATAAAATATTATTCATTATAAATTAGTTCATTATAACTAATTATTTTGGATTAAATTTAATTTTTAAGAATTCATTTTTAGTACTCAAACACATGCAAAGAAAAATTTAGTTATTAAAATTAGTTGTTCTATAACATAAAATGCGATAATAAAAACCAGATGAAAATCCAAAGCAATTTTTTTATGAATCAACGAAATATCAACTTATTAAATTTTATATTATGTTCATACTCTTCTATATTTGAATAGTATAGAGCTGAAATTCAAAAACTATTTTAATGTAAATAAGATAATACACTGAAATGTATGTATGTGTGTACATACAAGGTGCATAGATACCAATATAAGGAATAAAATCATTTATTTTAAAATTGTTTTTAGAAAAATTATTCTTCCTTCCGTCCTATTTTCTCTTTGTTCTCTGTTTTTTGTTGGTATGCATTTTGTAGTGTTATATTTATATATATATATGTGTGTATGTGGATTTGCTCTAAAAATAACTTTTAATTCATTTTGATATTTTGTTTATTCTAATGTTTTTTTTTTTTTTTTTGCATTTTTAATTATAGACGTGACGAACATACCAATACAGAAATTTTTTGCGGAAGCTGGTAGAAATATTACAATTCCTTGTCCTGGTGTTAGTGAGCATACAATGGTTGATACATTAACGTGGAAAACATCTACGGGAATAATTGCACAGTATGCAAATCGAATACCACTTGTATATAATCAAAGGGTAAGCATGTTATTTTTAAATGAAGTTTTTTTTATTATATTTTAATTTTCTTTCAATAAATAAACTATCACCTCTTCGATTTTTAATTTGAAAGCATACATAGCAAATCCTTTATTATTTTTTTTTTTTGAATCTCTTTGATTAAATGTAAATTTTATAGAAAAAATTTCTGAATTTCGTTAAAATAATTCACGCATTGGCTATCATTAATCACTGGTATCATTTTTCAAAAGGTTATTTTGAAATAATAATATATTTGACCAAAAAAAAAAACTTTTAATCAAAATATTTTATTGCAATTTCCTTAGAAAATTTCATTTTATAATTAACAACGAGAAAAGATATAGTTTTGAGAATGTTGTACGTCAATACAATATTTTGTAGGCGTTAAAAGAATTTCCATATGGTAAAATCAAATTTTAATGGAATAGTGAAGCTTTTAGAGCCGCCATTTGTACAAAATTTGAATACATACTGTTTATTTTATAGTTTACAGAATATAACCAAGTTATACAAGTATAATTTGAGAAAATTTGGTAAACCTAGCTTAATGGGATTCTGAGTTATTAATCTATCCGTCCTAGACAAAACTACTTCAATTCTAAATTCTAGGCTGATTAAGATCGTATACTGGTTTTCGTATCCAACACGTCTATTTCTTAGCGTTACAAACGAAGAAACGAAGTAATAAATTTGTAATACCCTTTGCACATTTGTTTGAAGGAGAAAAATAACGATATTGTTTTTTGGATCGAATTTGAAAATTTCACCAGAAAATACGTGTTTGTTATTAGACTTCCTACATTTTCAGTAACTATATTTATCTTTTTCTAGCTAATACGGTCATTTTGGATGAATAAGTCACACAGCACGATTGATTGAACAATTAAAAAAAGCACAGTATCTTTAAAAGTGCTGAATACTGAAACATATAGAATTCGAATCCCTATGAAGGACGTTTTATGAAGACGTTTTCGAGTTTTTCCTTAAAATTTGAACGTTTAACGAATTGAAATCCCAGAATAGAATTCGAAACGATAGCTTTGGAAAAAAGTTTTCAAATATTATATTAAAAAATTTTATTATAAAGCCTCCGGGAACTCTATACTTTTGTTCAGAAATTGTTGTTTTTTTTTTTGAATATTTAAAATATGGAGCCTGAGAAACTCGACGTTCTTGCAAATTTAAAATATTTCATTCAAAACTTTTATTTATTTATTTAATTATGTTTAGCTCAAACATTTTACATAACTTAAAATTAAAGATTAATATACATAGATACATATTTTTTAGACAGAACAAATTTTTAACTTTGTTAAAATAAGGAATTTGTTAAAATAAAGCAAAGGGTTATGTCTTTCTTCGCGAAAAGTTAAGTCTGTGTTTGTGTTTGTTGCATAAACGCAGCATTCTGCTGACAGGTTCATGCTTCCCATAATTAGTCCTATGAAAAGGAACCATGAAAAGATCCGGGGAACGAGACTTAAGGTTGGAATTAAACACAATTTTATTTAAAATGTCGGGGGAGATTAAGTCAGTTTTCATAAGATGAAAAATGAATAACAAATCCGCGATGTCACGTCTTTTACCCAGTGTGGGTAGGTCAATTAATTTGAGTCTGTGCTCGTAAGGTGGAAGAAGGATGAAGCGCAGTGCGAACCTAAAAAAATTTTTTTGAATAAACCCAATCCTATTAATATGTATATCGTAATAGGGTGACCATACTTGTGAAGCATATTCAAGATGAGGACGGACCAGGCATGTGTAGAGTGATTTTAAGACATAAGGATCATTAAACTCCTTTGACCAGCATTTAATGAAACCTAACATCGCGCTTGATCTGCATATGATATGATTATAGTGGTTTATAAATGATAACTTGCTATCGAAGCAAACACCCAGGTTCATTATTATACTAAGAGCTTGGCCATTCAAAGTATAGTTTGTAAAAAATGGCCGTCTTTGCCTAGAGTAGCACATTTCTGCAGATTTAATTACATTGATTTATAGGTTGTTACTTGAGCACCAGTCGTAGAAGCGGTTAAGATCATTCTGAAGACACAACGCATCATTTGTAGAGCTTATTTTTTTTTTAATTTTCATGTCATCAGCATATATTAATACCTCACTGTGCGTTAGCATCGAAACAACATCATTAATTCAAATTATGAACAGTAATGGACCTAAGTGACTACCCTGGGGTACACCAGAATTAGACGAAAGAGGAAGAGCATACTCGACTAATTTTAAAACATAAAGTGATTTTAAATGAATTCCAAAGAATATTTTATATTAACTTATACTAGTATACTCTACAAAATTTCAACTTTTACCATTCTTTTATTTATCGATCTGATGGTATCTTTTTTGAACAATATGTGCTATGAAATACACATATATCAAATATTTTGAAAATACTTCATAATTAATCCAGGTGTATACATCGGCACTACTTTTAATGGCTTATTTTCTATAAAACTAATTTAAATATACATGCACATTTATACATATATATACATATTAAGTATGTTTTTAATTTATAAAAAAGAAAAAAAACTCAATTCTTTTTAAAATAACAATAATATTCACACATTCTACCTACACAATATAACTACATTCTTGTTCGTATGCATAGAAATATAGTACGACCAATATTATAAAAACACATGACTCAATTTGAATAAACAATTTTTATTTATTTTTAACTTTATTATAGCCTATATGCCTACACGAAATTATTTTAGACCCATATAGAAATATTTAATATAATAAAATAAAATACGGAAAAACACTATCGAAACTGGCAACATGTTTACATCCTAATTTAATTTTTAAACAATTTCGATGTCATACAAAATGTGCCCCGTCCAATATAATGGTGTATTCTATAAAATTTATGTCGATGTTTATTTATATAATATAGTTACCCTATTTATACACTTTTCCATTTAAATTTATTTGTATAATAATATTTATATGTACGAGTATACATGTTGGAAATATATATATATATAGGGGTATAAGGATAAGAATAATATTATGTACATATGTGCTTTTATATATAAATAATTTAACAAACAAAATAAGAGCGAAAATAGAAAAATAAACGCACATCATCACCATTGTAAACACATAAATTATTTTGTTTTGCCTCCTTGATGCCATTATACATTTAGATTATTACGTTAGGTATTATAATGTATATAGATGATAATATATAATATTATCTATATATATTATTGTGTAGTTATGCGATGTGTACACCTGAAAATTGAACTAAGAAAGAATGTCCTTTTTCATTATTATGATATTTTTATTTCATTTTATTTCTAGTTTTCTTTAACTATCCAATATTTATAATATATTAATATGAAAGTGTAGAAAAAGGATATAAAGGACATGACATGTTAGAATATTCTATTATATAATAAAATTCTTAAATTGTGAACTTAAAATTTTATTTCTATTTTTTTTTTCTCAACCTTTTTCAAAAATTATTTAATGTTATTTTGTTATTACTATTTTATATACTAAATACACTCCTATTTATATAAGCAGATATTTTATTTACTTATATATTTTTCTTGAATGGATTCGTTATATTGTTTTCATTTTTTCTTTTTTGTTGTTTTTGGTAAGATTAATAAATACTACAAAAATAATTTTCTTACGTCTATTTCATATAATAATAAAAAGGACATATTTAGCTTTTGGCTAACTTTGTCTGTACTTTACATAAACCACTAAAACATACGTATACATACATATATATTTACAATTTGTATATGACCCTGTTGAAAATGAAATTTTCATGTTATTTATACATACACTTTAAATTACTAGAATTTTGCATAAAATCTGGCGTAACATTATAGTAAGTTTTAAATATATCACTATGTAAAATATAGAAGATTTTGTAATTGTAGTTTTGACTAAAATGCATTTACGTTTTAATGTATGTGCGCATATGTGCAGACAATATGCATTAATATATGTATACATAAATATGTACATATAATATTTATATTGAGATTTTTATAATTACATTCAGGTATATTTTATTATTTATTATGTTTTTGTTGTGGTATTGTGGTAATTTTTACCAAATTATTACCTTGGTAATATACATATATTTATTATGAATATAATGGTTATAAAAATATATCAAAGTTTGTTTGTATATTATAAATAAATAAGAGATGTAATGCAAAATTAATGTAATGCAATTGTTACCATCAAAGTACGAAAATACCTAAATATATGGTCATGGTAAGATTATAGAAAACAATACCCAATAAATTGCAAAGAATTCGTTTTCAATTGTTTCCGTTATTTGATTTACTCAAAATAACTGTTTTATCTGCTCTGAAATCTTTAATAGTTTTGAATAAATAATTATAAAAAATGAATTTTTCGCATGTTTCGGAAAAAACAAAATAATAACAAAAATTTTTGAGAAATTTCGAGTTTTGTAAAAAAAAAAATTAAAAAAAAAAATTCTGACTTTGACGATCTGTATCTTGAAAACTGTGGCTCAAATCAATTTAATTGTAAGACCAAAAATAAACAGTAAATCGCTTGTAAAACAAATTCCCAATGAAAACTCTTTGTTGTGTGGGTCTAAAGTTATAAGTATTTATTTATATGCCGGAAAAGTTCTGTACCTTTATTTGTCACCAGGCTTTAGCTCGAAAATGAGTATATCTGTACCCATATACAATTTTTTGCTTAAAATTGGTCGAAGAATAATTATCCTTGAAATTATTTTCCATATTATACGGAACATCCTGTATAGTAGTTTACTATACTTTAAGACGAATTACAAACCGAATTTTTGTCAAATTAAGTTCAAAAAACTTTATTTAATTTCTAAATCTATAGTAAGAATTCGTAGTTTGATCATTGAATCATACTTAAGGAAATTAGTTGAATATTCTCTTCTTGTAAATATTTAACTTTAGAGCTTTTTTCATTAATAATAGTTGAAAATAATTCTATAC